GCACAGCCCCGGCGCTGTGCGGCGCCGCGGCCCCTGCGGCCCCCGCCACGGAACTCCCACGACCCTGCATCATGCACAGCAAACCCCAATTTATTGGATCAAGCGACGACCAAACCGGCGCCCCCACTGCCGCGGCACCTGCTCGTTTCCGGCACCCCTGCTGAATCCAGAAACCGCTGCCGCACCCCGACCGCCCCCCACTCCTGGAATTCACCTGGAAAGCCGCGTCCCAGTTGTCAGGGCTGGCCCCAATGACCTCCTGGAAGACGGTCAGGCATGCAGTCATGTGGCCTGGGGGGCCGCACGTCACCGGGGCGGGGCGTCACCGACCGGGGTAAGGGGTGGGGACAAGGGTGGGGTGGTTGGGGACGGGAGGCAGGGTGCAAAGGGGGCCCCCAGTGCGAAGTGACAGCGGAGGAGGTCCCGTAACTGCGCAGGTGCAGGCAGGGCGCGGCGGGGGGCACAGCCGCGCGCCAGGTATCAAGCCGGCTGTCGCCGGCGCGGCCGCACTGGCGCAAACCCTGGCGGCGCCGGCCTGCCGCGCGGCCCGCCGGCTGGCGGCTGCAGCCTCCCTGTGCTGCCAATGAGACGGTGCCGTGCCGAACAGGGCTGGAACATCAATGCAGCTCACGTCACGCAGGATCACAATGATTGTGCTGCATGCGGCCGGCGCACCTGGCCGCGCGATGTCGACCATGAAGTGGCCCTTGGAGCGCCCATCCTGGACTGCCTGACAGTGCGGAGCCCAGGAAGAAAGAGGAGGGCAGGGGCAGGGCGGAGTTTGGAGGAGGTTTGGGTGGTGGTTCAAGAGGCGCGGATGAGAGGGTGGACGCCGCGGCATTGCGCGGCCGCCACGCCGCCAACGCCGCCAGTGCCGCCCGCGCGGACGCGGCCGAACCGCCGCAGCACAACAGCCCCCGCCCATCCAAACGGTGGGCTGACGCCTCAGGCGGGAAAGCAAAGCCATGACTGAAAACAGACCACCCCTCCCCTTCGTTCCCCGAAGATAAAGACCTCCGCGCCTCCCGAGCGGTTTCTCGTCGGCCGCACCTGCAGGTTGTACCGCCGGTATGCGTCCTCCATCTGCAGCCTGATGGTCGTCTTGCCCGACCCCCTTCGCCCGAAAAACACGTACGTCGTGTCATTGGGGCGGAAGCCGCGGAGGTCGCTGTGGATGTAGAGGCTCGTCTCATCGTGATCTGTGTTCTCCGCGGTGCGGTCTGTGAAGGGGTTTTTGCTGAGCCCGAAGGACTTCAGCAGGTCTGTGGTCGGCATCTCCGCGCCGCCGGCCGGCCGCCGGCGATCGGCTGGGTGGGTGCGCCGCCGGCGGGGGCGAGCCGCCGGGGGAGGGGGGTCGCGGGGCGGCGGGGCGGCCGCGTTGCCGAGGGGGCGACTGCGGCGCCGCTCGTGGGCGTTGGAAGGGGCTGCGCTGCCTGCCTGGAAGCTGGGCTGCGCAGTTGCAGGGCAATTGGGGCGAGCGAGCGAGCGCCGTTCAGAGGGCGCAAGCAGGAGACGCTAGCGGCGGCGCATCCGGCATCGACCCCAGGGCAGGACGTGATTGCCGCCTCGCGACGACTACCTGCTGCTGGAATCACAGGTGCAGCCTTGGCACCGAGAGATGCTCAAAACGCACTGAACGCTGGTGTCGAACCTATGATGCCGACGAAAGCATCCCGCTCGGTTGCCCAGCGCCCTTGAGCCGGAGCTGCAAGTGGTCGTGCCAGACTCACCTGTATAAAGAGCCTGTGATTCCAAGATCAGATGAGTTGATGACTTCCGAGAGACTCGCTCCACCAGATCGCAACCTGATCGCAACCTGATTGCAACTTCAAGACAGCTCGCGCAAAACGGATGTGATTCTGTGGGTACCGCATGCACCCGCTTTCTGATCAGGAACTTGGCCAGATTTAGTCAGCACAGACACCAAATGGGGCGGTTGCCAACACACCCATTGCACGCGGGATGGAGTGGCAAACCAGGAGAGCCTTCCGTCAACAAATCCAGGGGTACATTCAAGCACTTGAAGGTTGGTGCTGCGCGTCTCGGGCGTGTCGTTGTCGAGGTACTGGACATTTCTTCCCCTCAGGGCATCGCGGGACTGGCATATTTGTGCTAGTGAGGGCTGAATGATGCTGCACAACCGTGATTTAGTGTCAGCATGCAGCAGAGGTGGGTTTTTTGGGGTGTGTTGACTTCACACCACTTGGTTTATATGTGAATACCATCCGCGCTTCTAGGTGCAAACTGATACTAAGTACAACGGACTGCAGACCGCCACTTCAGCAACGGTGCAAAGGGGGGGTAAGGCAGATGAGCTTGGAGCAAACTCCCCATCGATGCAACTTTGCAAGGCATCGCACATGGCGAGCCTGCAAACCCTCACCCCGCACATCCCCCTGCCTGCCGCGCTGGCCCCTGCTGTACCTGCGGTGCCAGATGCGGTACAGTTGTTATGGTACTGCACGAGCTCTGTGTTGGCTTCGAGCAGGCCTGCCGGCAGTATATGTTATTGATGGCTGTTGACTGACTAGCCTAGCCCATCACGTACCTGCGTCATGACCCGCACCAGCCAAGGCCGAGTTGCACCAGGCAGATGTGCTTGTTGCGGCGCTCAACTGCGCCGCTGCAGCCTTCAGGCAGCTCACCGCTCAGCAAAGCTGGGGCGTGCAGGCAGTCTATGTGCCGTGTCATGACTAGGACGGGGCTCTTTATCCATCAGGCTGCCAATCTCACCGCAGCCCACCCACCTTTCTGCTGCTGCAGGCCGTTGCGGAAGATTGCGATTTCTCAGGGTTTCATGCGGCTGCAGCGCGATAGCCTTGCCCGATGCAAATTCATCTGCTAGCCCCTTGCACTCTGTCACACGGTGGCTTGTCAAAAAAGTGAGTCTCGTTTGTTGTGTGACAAATGCAATGCAACAACCTTGTTAATTGGACAAGCACACATCAACCTGACCCGTAACAAGTTGCCAGCATCAGCCCTGCTGGTTCAAGTAAGGAAGGTGCTGTATGCGCAGAACAAATGACACGACACCAAAGAGCCTGGGACACACATTGTAGGAAGAAGGCCAAAGGACCATGAAGCGGTCCGTCCTGTATGCCACAGTCAGCCGTGACTGGAGACCAGGCGCAACATGCAAACCATACATGCGCATCTTGCACCACACCCAGCAGCGGGTGAACAGCTCAGGCTCACACGATTGGGCGGTACGTAGGATGTATGCGAGGCGCCTCACAACGCTTGAGTGGGATGTGCACGCGCGCTGGAAGACGAAGGCGATTAACATGCACAAGCACAACAGACGAGCACAGGGTTGAATTAGATGCGTGGCGCAAGCGGCACGCCCGCAGGCACTGAGGAGAGCCAAAAGATCTGCAACAAGTCAGCAGGTTAGCAGCCATCAATGCCTAGGTGCGTAATCATCACCCCACCTCATGTTAGCACCGTGCCAGCGGGGCGCGAGCTCATTTCCAAAGGTTGCCCTCAACGCAGCTTTGCCGCAGTCCGTAAAGTTTTTGACGCTCACATCAAGTGCAGTGAGGTGCGTCATGCGTGCAAGCGCCTTGGCGCCCTCATCATCAATAAGCCGGTTGCGCCCCACATCAAGGGACACCAGGTTGGTCAAACACGCCAGGGCCTTGACGGCAGGCGTACCAATGTTGTTGTCGTGCAGGTCAAGCTTGGTGAGCGCGGTCATGGAGGTCAAAGCGGCTGCACCAGCATCACCAATGCGGTCCCCAAACAACTCCAGGTGCTCCAGACTCACCCAGCCAGCCAGCCTGCATGCGCCTATTGGCGAAATCCGACACTTTTCAAGCGAAAGAAACTTGAGGCCTAGCAGGAAGCGCATGAGCTTGACGGCGCACTCATTCATCACACGGACCTTGTTGCGATGACTCTCACCACCTGGCGATATTGAAAGGGCACGCAGGCTGGCGGCGCGCGCCAATAGCGGGGTCGCGTCCAACCGCCCCTTGCCGCCGCCTTCCAACCTCATATCGTGCAGGTGGAGGCGTGTAAGGCATCGCAGATGGCCGAGGGTGTCGCGGAGCCGAGGGTCAACGCTGGCACTGCTCAACCTGAGGACCTCAAGATGCCGCAGCGCGGCGAGGCAGCCGGTATCAGGGAGCACCATATCACACAGGTACAACTCCCGCAGGCCCTTCAGTGCAGACAGGGCCGCCATGTCGTCTGGGGTTGCTTCGTGCTCGCACTTGGAGAAGTTGAGAGTCTCTATTGCGGCCAGGCGGGGCAGCGCCAAGGCCGCCGCGTTGCTCCTCGCGTTCTGTTCCCTGTCGGACGACCAACGAGCTGGTTCGATATGCAGGCTGCGTAGGTGTGCGCCATGTTCCCTGAACACTGCGGCGCAAGCGAGCTGGGTGCTCAGGGGGACGCGGGAGTGCAACTCGAGGCTGCTGCATGCCGCGAGGGCGGCGCGCCGCGAGGCGAGGGACACCCTGGACAGCGCCTTGCGGGGCTCGAGCTCGCAGAGCTGTGCGACCAGATCTAGCGTTAAAGAGGGTGAGCTGAAGAAGGCGCCAGCGCAGGGCGGAGGTTCGCACGAGCTGAGATCAGACGCCATGATTCAGTGTCTGCGTTGCCTTATTACTTGTGAGGCGGTGCTGTAAGGATGTTGTACGCTAGACTGGAACACCGTACCGTAAAGGGCACATGTGATTGTACGGTACCGGTACCGTTGATTTTTTGTGTGACAGCTCATACGGTACGGCGCTGATGAATGAGTGTTGCATACCGTATGATAAGTTATGTCGCCTGTCGTTCAGAGGAAGGCTGTTATCATAGACCTGATCTGCCCCTGCCAGGTGCAGCACCATAACCATCGCAGCGGCTCTTCGACGCCGTCTCTGCAGAGGTGGCATTGTTGAGGGAACTTGCTGCAGAGCACTTCCATCCCCTGCACAGCTAGCTGGTGCCGGTTGAGCCACACCGGGGCTGGTGAAGGTTATCACAGTGCCCCCTGTGCTAGGGCGAGGCAACAGCTCCCAGCTGCAACAACAGGATTCGTGGAGATACCAGCCTGTTTGGCTCCCGGTACGTCAAAGGCGTGCGCTACCTGTGATCTTACCGCCCTGGTGAGGGCGGCGCCGCCGATTACACCCATGGCGTTGTGCTGCACTCCACCGCCGCCCGAGTGTGCACCTGTCGTGCTTGGGTTGGCACCTGGGCGCACAAGCACCGCGTGCACTCTCCCCTGTAACCTCATTTGCGCTGTTGGGCTGCTTGCAGGGCCTCTTCGCCCTCTGTTGCTCAAGACAACTGATCCCCAACTGCCCAATCGACCCTCTTCACACCCCCGCAGGCACACCGCCTGCAGCAAAAGGCAAGATGTACAGCCCGGTGCACTACGTAGTAGTAGTGGTGCCACTGCAGGCATCGCAGGTGTCGGCGCTGTTACAGCGGCCAGACAGCATTGGATGCGGGGCAGCCGACTCTCTGGCGGCTCACACCGCGGCTGTTACCGCAATTGTGGGTGCGGAGCATGCTCCCTGCCTGAGTGTGCTGGGTTGCCTTCAGCCCCTGTTGTGTGAGAGCGGCGAGGTGGCGGCTGCCAGGATATGATCTTATGCACACATATGTCGTTGGCCCGAGCCTTCCCTGAGCCATGCTATCGCTCACCCAGGATTCGGTGGGACTCCAAGGACGCTGGCCGTGGCGGCCACTCACAAGAGGCCCCAGAAGCGCTTCTTGCTGCTAGCAGCAACCCCCCAGGTCAGCACTACCGCTGTATGCATGGAGGCCAAGTTCTCGCACCACGCTTGGTGCAGTGAAAGTGCGCGTCTCCCTTCCGCTAAACAGCCATGTATATGGGTGTGGTGCTCATATCAGTGGACGCACCGCACTGGTGTGAATGGAGCGCATTCAGACAGCCTGAGACAGATCTGAATGGTCCGTCAACCCCCTCCTTACACAGGGGTGACGCAGGGATCGCACGCCTGGACACACGCTGAGGCCAGGAGGTGTGCTCGCCAGCTCTGTCACCCGCGGGATTGCTTGCTGGCCGCGAGGCAACTGGGAAGTGGCCACGGTGAGGCCGCAGGGCCTTGCTTGAGCTGACTGGCCAGTCAGCTCAAGCCCATGGGCTTGGGCTGGGCTGGCCTTTGATGTCAATGGCACGCCTATAGTGCCCCTTGCACTTAACTGGCAAGGAGCTCTAGCTGGCCGCCTGCAACACTCCAAATGGTCCAGCCGAGCCATGCTTCAACTCTGGTAATCTAGCAGAGCTTGAAGCAGGAGCTGACTATGAATTTTAACCGTGACCACTCAGTTGCTCGACGCCCGCTGTGATGCCACCGGCCTGCAGGCACGTGCGGACCCGCGGCTGCTGCGAGCATAAACTCCCTGGCTGTGAGTGAGGGCGGCAAGGCAACGACGCGGCACGGCGCTTTCACGCAGGCACCCAGCAGGGCTGGCAGTTTTGAGAGGATCCTTCAAGCGTATGGCAGCGCAGCTTTGGCTTCTTGGCCCGGGCAGAGGTGCGCATCCGCAGTTGTGGATAGGGGGCCCTGCTGTCTGACATTGGTTCGCAGGCAAGGCCAGGATGTGCTTGCATGTAGGTCTCGAGAAACACACATCACTTGGCCGAGTGGCCATGTCAGACGCAGCTGCCGGGTTGGTATTTAAGGTTCAATCACACCAAAGGGGCCTAGACCCCGTTGGTATGGCCTCTCCTGCCCTGCATTCCAGATGGGTTCATGAACCCAATGGCTCATACACCAACGCAGGTGGCCGGACGTTGTCGACAGCGCGAGTGATGCAGGAGCAGATTCTTCAAGGGCGCAGCGGCCGGGAGTCACCGGTGAGGTGGGAGCTTGCATAAACCCACCCTTTGGGAAGGAGAGGATCAACCGCATGGCTGAAAACTATGGCCAGGGGCATTGGACATAAGCATAATGGACATAAGCATAATCAGAAGGAGGGCAGAGAGCGGCGGGACAGCTTGCACACGTGGATCAGCGGATGCGCTCGCTTGGCTGTTTGTGCACGATCACGCACTGCGACGACTTGATGCATCCACTGTTGTGATGTGTGTAATAAGGGTGGTGATGCAAAACGCGGGACAATATCCATGTTTTTGGGGGACCTTGGTTCAGGTGTGGTGGCAGCAGGCCGCCAACCAGAATGCCACGAAGCTTGATATTTCAAGCCTAAGCTCCCCGGCCATTTGGTAGCCGCCGCTTGCACCCCAATTTTGATGACATCCACACCGCGCAGGCAGCCCTGAAGAACAACTTCTATTGAGCCGACCAGCATATGCAGACCGAGGTGTAAGCTTCAGGCTGTCGAAACTGCTGACATAGGTGCCGTGTATAGAGCGCCAGTCTACAGTGAGCGTGCTGTTTTGAAAGACTAACAGGACTACAGCAGACATGAACTTTGAGAGTGATGTTGGCCGAGAATATTGGTTCCTCCACTCAGCAACCTGAACCATTACAAAGTGCAAACCCTTGGCTTGTCACTGGGTCTTGATACGGCAAACGCGCTAGCGCCAAAGAGCCTGGGGCAAACCTCACTGCTGGAAAGCCAAAGAATTGCGGTGCTATTGTGACGGAGCCAGCTGTTGCTGGAGCCCTGGCGCTTGTCGGCGAAATTCACACGCGGCTTGTAGCACAAAAGCGGGGCCAAGAGCAGGCATAATGCTGCATTCCGAGAGTGTGAAGTCCTTCCCCTTGCGGGGGAGGAGGGGGAACGGTGATTGCAGAAATCGCCCTGGCGAGCATGCACGGCCACGCACCAGCGCAGCAAGCAAGCGCTTGCATGTGCGTCACTTGCAGGGTACGCGGTGTGCACGCGCACACGCTACCAAGGGCCAAGATCATAATTAATCCTTCCGTAAAGCATGTTTCCTATGCCATACAAGTAAGGAAGCTCGCCTCTCAACGTGGCCATCAGCGCGGCCGTGCCGTGCTCCTTGAAACCTTGCCTGCTGACACACAGGGTTGTGAGGTGCGTCGTGCCCGCCAGCGCCAAGGCACCCTCGTCGTCAATCTCAACGTTGTCGCTCACGTCAAGGTACACCAGGTCGGTCAAGCTCGCAAGGGCTTTGACCCCGAGCGTCCCAATTCTGTTGGTGGACAAGCAGAGCTCGGTGAGCGCGGTCAAACAGGTCAAAGCGGCTGCCCCGGCATCGCAGATGTCATTGTAACTCAGGTCAAGGTGGGCCAGGTTGCGCAAACCAGTCAGCCCGCAGGTGCCCGTTGAGTTGATGTCGTTGCTGTTTAGGTCGAGATAAGTGAGCATGGGCAGGCAGCTCGTGAGATCAGAAGTGTCGTGATTTCCCACGTGGACGTCATCACTGTCGCTTGGGCGGACCGACAGCGCACGCAATGTCGTCGCACGTTTCACCAGCGGGACGGCGCATGTTTCATCATCAAAGCAGTCGCAGTCGTCAAGAGTCACGCAGTGCACGTGGAGGCGCGTAAGACATCGCAGCTCGCCAAGACTGTCCGCAAAATTTACGATGGCAATTTCGACATCTGTGAACGTGAGGGCCTCGAGCCGCGGCAGCGCAGTGAGGCGGCAGGGATCAGGGAGATAAGTGTCCCGCAGGTGCAACTCACGCAGGCCCGTCAGCGCGGATAGGGCCGCTGTGTCGCCTCGGGCGATCACGGGCTTCAAACGGCGATTGAAGAGAGTCTCTATCGCACCCAGGCGGGGCAGCGCCATGGCCGCCTCCTCGCCCCGCGCAGCCGCGGATGCGTACTTTGCCGCTGCTCTTGCTTTCTTCCTGCTGGTGGGATCACGACAGAGAGCGTGCGTATGCGACCACCATGTCCCATGAACACTGCGGCGCAAGCGAGGTGGATGCCCAGGGGGACGCTGGCGCGGACTTGAAGGCTGCTGCATGCCGTGAGGGCGGCGCGCCGCGAGGCGCGGGACACCCTGGACAGCGCCTCGAGGGGCTCGGGCTCGCAGAGCCATGCGACCAGATCTAACGCTAGAGATTCTGTGCTGAAGAAGGCGCTGGCGGAGGACATAGGTGTGCCGCGGCTAAGATCACGCGCCATCTTGCTGCACTGTCTTGACACCCTGCGTCGGTTCGGGGCGGGACTTGGGGGCGGGGAGATAGAACGGGTGACTGCGTGTAGTTATGAACTTTATAAAGCATTAAAAGCTTTTTGCCGCCGCGAAACGTCCAGGGCCGCTGTGTTCACCAGGGCCGCTGTGTTCAACTTGACCAGATAATCTGAGTAATGCTCCGCGTACATGGGCCCTGCGGGGCAGCTATAACGGGTAAAAGCCAACTTATCTATATAAACGCCATCTTATCTGCCACTACTCGTGTGCCTGAAGGCTCCAGCAACGATCCACCTATGCATAAGGAGATTAGCATCCTTGTCTTGCTGCTGTAGACTTCACGGAGCGCTCAGATGTGAGATTATGCGCAGTAATAAAGCGTTCGAGGCCCAGAGTTCAGCATCATGCATCTGCTCATCGACACCATCAGGATCAGTAATGCACACCATAGACAGTGCGGTGAGGCGATTCGCACGCAATCAGGCACTGCTGAGCCTTGATATGAAAGGATAGATGTTTAATGCATCTCAGCACCGCAAAGGGCCTGATTCCAAAGGGCCTCTTATCGCTCTTATCGCAGGCAAATCGCGAAGAAAGATTTTGCCAAAGCGATAACTGCAATCTATCAGCGTGATATCGATCACAACTCCAATAACCCGCATATTACATGGACCCATTCATATCGATAGGGGTTGAAGATGAGCAGGCATTCCAAAAAGAAATGAAACTCAAGATCAGGGTCGCGCTTGCGCAGCACCAGGGTTACACAAGGGACATGGGGGAAATGTAGGGGCAAATGAATGCCCGGCCCAAAGCAGGGGGCGGCCGCGGGGCGCAGTGAGGCGGCGCAAAGCGCGGGGCACTGAAGCAGCAGCGAGCCGAAGCGCCTGCCCTCCCCCAGGGCGGGAGGGAGGGAAAGTGATCACGATGAAGCCTGTATGCTGCGCGGGAGGAGGCGTCCGCGCGTGAACAGAGCCTTGAGCTCAGCACCCTCAACATACAGCACACTGCGCGCGAGGGGGTGCCTGGGCAAACGTGGGGGGCTGCCCCACCTGTCGGCCAGAAGCAGCGAGGCATAGGGGGCGCTGTTTGGCCTGCAGGTGATCACGATGAAGCCTGCACCGATCGATGGGAGGCAACGAGGGCCCAGCGGGTCAGGCAAGGTGAGCGTGTCGATCAAGATCACGCAAAGCGGGAACGCGGTGCACGGTGCGGTCCACACCTGTATGCTGCGCGGGAGGAGGCGTCCGCGCGTGAATAGAATGGCGGGCAATGCCGCAAAGGTGCCGGAAGAGGGGCACGCCCTGGGTGCCTGCTCAGCTGCCCTCATCCGTCAGGAGCTGAGTGCTCCTGCTCAGCCCCTCATATGTAGAGCCCTTCAGACCTTCAAGCAGCCGCGATCAACAACACACATTTATCAACCATCCTTCGCCCACTACGCACCCAAAAGCTCCCTTCTGCGCTACAATACGCTCCCTCCTCGACATGAACGCCAACCAGCCCTCCCAGCAGCCCGCGTCCTTGTTTGGCGATAACGATCATTCCTAGCTTCTCAGCACTCGCCACGCTTCCGCCTTGATCAGAAGCCGAATCAGCATTGACATTCGTGTGCTCTAACTTGCAAAAGTCACACCAGAACGGCTCAGCAGTATTAGTATGGTGGGGAAGCCAGGCAGCGAGCACGTGGACAGAGCAGTGCATAAAAAACGATCCGTGAAGAACCGCTCCACCGCAAAACGCTGAAATCAAAACGAATTCGGTTGCGATTTGAGGTGTTTGCCCGGGTTTGACAGGCCCTTTGGAATCAGGCCCAAATGCCACTATTCGCCTCAGGAAAAGCGAGGCGATCTCCTGCGGAGGCACTTGACTCATTTTAACCCTCTGCCCGCCCCTTGACTAGATATAGTTTCAGGTCCCGATTTCTTCCTGCCTACGGCGAGTTAGAGGCTCCGGCGCGGCTCAAAATGCAGCAAATGATCTCATCTTGCCCCCGAGGGCGGCAGCGGAGCGCGGGGATGCTTTATAAGACCGTGTTGTCCGCGGGTGCATATGCTGCAGTAGCTAGAGCGTGTCTTTCCTGCTTCTTCCACACCAGTGACACGTCCACGGGGTTACAACAATCACATGGAAGCTCCATGGGCCGCGCTTGGCGCAAGAAACGGTGTTTCAATCGCGTAGAGGGCGGGCGGGGGCAGATCAGTTCATGGCACGTAGGCCGTCTGATAGTAGCTGGGCCCACCTGAAACAGCGCGTATACAATACTATATGCATAATATTATCTATTGCGGGCCGGCTATGGGCCAGACGATGGATGGCGCGTCTGCGGGCAGGGTGCGCTTGCTGGTTGGCGCGCCGCAGTGTGCAGCTGCAGCAACGTGGGAGGGGCAGCATACAGGCAGTACTTTAGGCTGCACTGGACACAGTGTATGTGACATATCATTTATGCATCTTTTAAACAGGAGCTGGCTGAGGGGTTGCACTCTTCAGGGCTCGGGCGTTATGCCCATCCCCGCACACCGTGGCTGCACTGTCACCTCATCAGCATGCTTTCATGCGCAGCGGCCCGTGAAGAGGTATGAAAGCATTCATACAACACTTGGGAAGCGTTGAATGCGATGTCTAACAGCACTCCGGGGTGGTGCAGGGGGTGGCTCCACAAGTGCCTGGTGTTGCAGGCACTGCGCATGCATGGTTGCCGCGTTTTACCGGACAGCTATCAACCAGACATATCTATATACAGATATATCCAAGTGAACGCCTGCCCCGGTGGTATAGAAGCGATTGCGCGGAGCACTTCGCGAGTGCAGTAGATCGTGGTTCCCACGCGTACTCAGCGAGCGGTTCGCCGTTTGCTGCCTTTGTGACGTAGTTAATAACATGTTTAAGTAATCCGCACAGCTGCAAAGCCAGGGGACGCGCGTGGTGCAAGAAACGGCTGCATCAAAATCCACCACGGAGGGCAGTTTCCAGTGCAGGGCGGGCAGAGGGTTAAAATGCGTCTCGCGACGGCGTTTTAGCGACAAAATTATGAATCTAATGCATTTATAAGCATTTATTTATGTCGTTCAGATCATTCCCTTTTCCCGCCCCCAAGTCCCGCCCCGAACCGACGCAGGGGTCTTGACATGAGATAACGTACGCTGTAAAGGAAGCACAAAAGTATATAGGGGACAGCCAGCGTTTATCCGAATAACTGAGCGCATGAGGCACGATATACAGTATTATGGCGGGTTGCAGACCCATTGAT